TAATGCAATCATTAGCCAAATATACTATCAATAAAATCCTGGGTCGCAAGTACTCACCTTAATATTTAAAAAAAAAAGAATATTTCTTCAATTTATGTTGCTTAGAAATTCCACAAAATCCCAATAGATATTCACGAAAATGCCACTCACATTGTTCTCTTTAATGGTGAGAGCTCTATTCAAAAACTTGCAGATATTATAAGTCCTTACACTAATGTAGATCTGCGAAAAGCTTCAAAAATTATTGACAGTTATTTGAGGCAAAAAGAGTTTATAGTTATAGATCTGAATAAACCCAGATCTAAGTCTTTCTCACTTCGATGAGACACCCTTCTTGATCTAGAAAAGAAGATCGAGGGATTAAAAGATAAAAAACATTCTGCCTAACCAGGGTGATATTTCAGAAGATATAATACTTTAAAATCAGATAAAATAAGGCATAACAATTGAATAATTATTTTTTCGGTTATTTATTAATACAACAATATAAGTACATCCTACTCATCACTTCTTATATAATTGAGAAGATGCACATATCCAGCCTACCTAGTATTTAAATTGAGGTGGATGTTTTCAGTATCTTATTCGCTACTATTCTCCAATGAAATAGCTATCAGTATCCAGCCTGATTGAGGTTGAAGTAGATGTTGAAAAATAAATAAATTCTGTAGTTTATTTGTACTAAGGAGATTTTTGTGCTGGGTAAAATAGGTTGATATGAAAAATCAAAGTAAAAAATATTACCAGCCCTCAGGGATAACGAAATAAAGTCTAAAGTACTAGCCCTCGGGAATACTTTAGGTTGTTTTATTTTAAATAGATATATATATGAATAAGTTATATAATTAATAAATCGAATAAATAAATGTGTATGGGTATTAGATAAGTTGTGCATTATTAATTTGATGCATTTCTTCTCTAACTGCCCATAATAATTGGTAATGCTCAGCTAATTGCTTGGCCATCATACCATCTGGTCGGTACATAAATTCAATCCATTTTCTTTGTATAGTTATACAAGCTTGAATTTTCTTACCAATTTCTCTGGCACGTTCGGCCTTTTTGATAGCATTCTGCATCTACAATCCATATCGATGTAATGCATACTTACTGTCATAATCATATCCGGAATTAGATTTTTGTTTAATTTTCAAATATTCTTCATAATTTACACCACAGTATTTATTACCGGTACATAAAAATTTCCAATGTCTTTCCATTCCTATATGGTTATAATTTCCTATATTCTTCTTTCTTTGTCCAGTATATACTAACTGATCACAAGAGAAACATATTGCTATTCCGATTTCAGGAGCATATGAACTACTATTCGGCAATCGTATTAATCTCCTAGCTTCAAGGTATTTTTTACTTTCAATAGGTAATAGATCATTCTCCCTAAAATATTGTAAGCCCGTTTCATCCACTCACTAGGAGTTTCATTAGTACGAACTTGTGGCATATTACAATGTTCAATCCATTCAGCATCAGTACAATCAGTTCCACGAGTGTTTATGCCAACCATTTTACGACTTATTATAGTGTGTTTTAGAGATTATACGATTTATATCCTATTTAGGGATTTAACTTTATCCTCTAGAATAATGCGATTCAATTTTAATGAGATTAGATTCTCGAGATCTGGCTCAAAATAATTTGTAAAAATATTTTACACTTAGTTTTATTCTGAGAAAGTGGCAGTCGGGATAACATTTACGAGAGCAAAAATTTGTGGTTCTGGTTATTTGTTCATAATAAGTGAAATCTCATTCGTTCTTTTCAACCCCAATTCCATTTTGATAACAATTACCAACTTCGTACCTTCCGTCAATATTTCGGGCACAAAAAATATATACGTGACTAAAATTCAGTAATATATTAATTTTATAGACATGAACAAAGATACGTATATGTAGCGAATTGGTTTTACATATACTGTTTACCATATTTGATCTGTTCCAATTTGTATTAATTATTTATTGACACAGCGAATTCCCAAATTTTATAGATGCGTGGATATGATATGTTATACTTTTTTGATAAAACTTGCATAGCATTGGGTATATTTCTGGAAGCGATAATATCATGAATCTCTTCTGGAGATAAAAAAGTCGCATCAGGTCTTAATCTTACAGGCATTTCAATGAATATGTAGCAACATAAATAAAAATTTTGTTGCTATGATCGAGAATTTTTCGTTCTGGAAATTTGAACGACCCGAGGTCTGCAAAATTCTTTGCAAAAGTGATCAGCAATCGTTAATGGAAAAATGTTATATTCAACAAAATGGGTAACATCAAAGTCGCATAGCTTTAAGACAAATTTGTCTCATACTTTAATCCCGTTTATTATACATGATAAATTTTCTTGAAAGTATTAATATTCTCCATGTATTATTAAGTTGCCTTAATCATTTATTATACTCCGCCTATATTATTTTTTTTTCCTTTATGATTTTTGTATTGCCTGTACGAGGCTTGTTATGACTTATTTCTGAAAGAACTCGTAAATTATGAGCGTTACTATAGCGTGCACTCCTTCTGTTTCTCACCGATCGGAATTTTTGATCGGTGTCCCTAACCATCAACTACACGATAAAAAAGCGATAGATGAAATCAGTAAAAGCAAATCCAAAATAACAAACAGTTATATTACTTACAGCCCAAGTCACAAAAGCCTTGAAAAAAGATGGAAGTAAACCAACGCCTTCCAGGTCCGTTGGAACTTCGCACGTTTCGATTTCGAAAAGCCGATATTTTCCTAAAAAAATTGTTAGCAAAGGCAAAGTAATATTCATATATATGTAACATACCTAAATAATCCATGAAATAAAATCTAAGATTTAGCCCAATACTTTGCACCATATATGCTTTAAATTCTGAAGGCGGAGCTCGTTTCAATTTAACTTCAGACACAACAGTGTAATTTATTAGATCTTTTCCTGCCCTCGCATTCTGAACAAAGTCTGATATTTCTTTCGTATTGTCAGTCACATATGGCCTGGATCCCTCCGTTATACATATTTCATATTGCTTTTCCGTGTTAGTATATGCGATTCCGTCTGAACGGTCTGCGTTACCTTCTTGTTTCATTATTTGTTTTCTATATGAGGATGCTTGGATGGCTTTGTTTCCTCTAAAAAAATAAAATCAAATAAAATAAAAAATTAAATAAATTTAATACAATAATATTAAAAACATTGCTAAAAATAATACTTACGGTACATAGCGAATATCTGCAAACCTGCGTAGAGCTTTCCTTAAGATGGGATGAATATATGTATTCATATACTCCTCTTCAAGCATATTGTGATTTTTGAGTGGATTATCATGAAGCAAAGAAAATGCATCAAAGCTAAAAGACAAATAAAACATTAATAAATCTTGATTGAATCGAGAATAATAAAGAGATACTTACAAGATCGGTAATGTTTCAAATAAGAGTCTTTTCAGTTTTTTCAAAAATGGATCTCCCTCCGGTTCCAATAAGCTTTCTATCTTGTTATCCCATTGCTGGAGAGTATAAGTCTGCCAAAGATATAAATAACGATGATGTAAGTGACAAGCCAAAAGACAAATTACTACAGGATAATATAAAACAATACCTCTGAAAAAAACCCATTAAGAAATTCAATCGCACTTTCCGGAAACAATTTATCGACAGACTCAAAGGTCTCTTTTAGAACTTGCATGTAATCATCCTCGTCTGTATATTTTAGAACAAACTCTGAAGATGGTGTAAGATCCATAATTTCGTTCCGATTTAATTCATTGATGGATTCGTTACAATATTTTTGAAAACAATCCACTAAATTTTTCATATTTTCTGAACTGCATAATTCGTTTAAGAGATTTTTAACCTGACTGTGATCGTTATCATTCTGTAAAATTCATTTAATTCTTTAGATATATATATGTACACAAAGGATTGTATAAAACTATATACTTACCGAATCATTCATCTTTACATCATCATCTGTTTCATCAATTTTATAAAATTTTGGGTTTTCTTGCTCAATACAATCATTATTTGGACGTTTCTATAAGTGGAAGACACACATTGTTAATTACCTTTAAAAAATTGTATATTAATAATATTAAACACCTTACCCGATTTTTATCATTTTCACTTAAAAGTTCCATTTGTTTCGATAGTTCATTCTCCTGATATGAAGCAGAAGTGCTCATCACTTTTAAGGTACTTAATTGTATGTCGACATTTGTATTATACTGTTTAATAATATACAATAATATTAGATGAATTCATAATTGAAACATATCCATCAATCATTGATACCTGCTGTCGTTTTAACATTCGCTTCTTTTCAAATTGTTCCCAAAATTCATTGGCATTTGAATCCTTAAATAAAAAAAATGAATTATTTGTTAACTTCGCTTTGCTTATAATTTTAAAGTTGGTGCTTGTCATAGATTATACCGAGGACGCTACCTAACTCCAGGAGTTAACAGGGACGCTACCTGCTCCCAGTGGTATGAATGTATAACCAGCACTCTGCATTGCACCGAGGAACGCTACCTAACTCCAGGAGTTAACAGGGACGCTACCTGCTCCCAGTGGTACAACTACAGACTAGCAAGAATTGCTAGCAACTAATTTTTTTTCAAAATAATTAAAAATAATTACCGACCATTCTAATAAGAGCAGATGCAACTTCACGTCTCTCATCAATTTCATCTTTTTCGAGATCTCTCAGATGGTCATTAAAACGCTTCTTCCACGTCGATTTCAATGTGCTTATTTTAGCGTGGTTATTGAAATACGGCTCTATGGTCTCGAGATATCCAGAATATGACCACTCATTCGTAGGAGTTGACGTAAAGTATTTCTCCCCTGCAATAAATGATAGCTTGTATTGTGACATTATTAAGCGTGAAAGTAAACAGCGGATCTTTTATACACACGATACTGTTCCACACTCGCTCTATTTCTGAATTCCGAATTTGGATGATCGATATTGTGGCTTAGCCAATTTAATAAAAAAATTTTTTTTGATTTTTTATTTTTTATACAGTTTAAAGTACTTCGTATTCTCGTGATTTTTACCAATTAAGTTCACAAACCTGTAATTGCGCCCTTAACTGTTAAGCCAGGATTATTTATACGTAGTTTTTTTTGTATATCAATATAAGCATTTTTGTACCATGTAACAGATTTCATTTTTTATATAGAACGCTAAAAATTTCAAAGCTTTTACATGGAATGGAAATTATCGTTATTACATCAAATTTAATATATGGCGCAGTAGTCATGTGAGTGTGACCTTTTGAGGTCACGTCCACGTGACTTATACGAATGATTCTGTTGGGGTTTTATCCGGAATTTGAGATATTATATGATTAATTTGATTTACAGTTAATTTAGAAATCATCAATGCAGAAAAAGAATTCACCCGCACTATTTTATCTATTCCTATCTTACTAAAGAGATGAAAGATTTTTTGGGCTCTTTCTTTTCTTTTCCGGATAGTAGTTTCAGGAGTACCATCAGGAAGTTGTTTTTCAATTTCTTTATTTACTTCACTATTAGCATTATTTACATTATAAGATTTTTCATAATGAAACTTGAAGCGTTTCGCTATGGTTATCCCGAAGTTATAGTATTGAATAATTACTTTCTGACTTTGTTTTTGATTTTCACTTTCAGAAAAGGTAATTTTAGTATATAAATTTAGAAAATCGATAGGTTGTGGGTCAGCTTCGGTAGCTATGACTTGGTAAGAAGTTATTTTATCTGTGTTTTGTTCAGCGGTGTTAGATTTTAATTCTGTAATAAGTTTTTTTATAGTATTAGAATCTTTCTTATTGCCTTTTTCCTTATTCCACTTTGATTTTTTATTGAATGATTTATTTTTAGTAGTATCTTCGTTAAGTCTTTTTTGACTCTGTTTTATATAGTCTGAAATGAAGAAATCCGATAAGGGGAGATTTAAACTATGAGTTGTATCTGAGTTTACTGTATCCCCGCTTTGACTAGATGTCATTTGTGCCATTTGTGGCGAAATTTGCATTGGGTCTGAGGTATTCTGTGCCCGATCCTGTGAGCTAGGTTCAGAAGTACCAGAATAACACGTATAATCAATAGATTCAATTTCTATTGCACATTCAGGGCATTGTGGAAGATCTTTTACATAATCCTCAAGACAACTACGGTGGTATATATGTTCACAAATGAGTATGGTAAATGGTTTTTTAAATTCATACAAAAAAAGCTCTTCTTTATACTTTGAGCATGGATCTAGTTCTGGAACTTCAACACCTTTTGCAATGACCTCTGGGGTGCCATTCTTAAGGATATTTAAAGCAAGGTTTTTAAGACATGAAATGTTTTGAGACGTTGGGTTAGTAGACATATCCAAAGGTAAAATTTTTTATAATTAAAAAAGTTGGTATACAGTATTAAGGATTATAGACAGATAAGTATTGAAATTAATCATTTGCTTATTTTTATACATTAAATGTTTAGAGACTAACAAACTTAATTTGCAGATTTTATGAAATCTCATTTCGGGTTTAGCGATCCGTTCATTCACAAATTATTAAGTATAGGCCAGGATCACTTGATCTTCGCTGACAATCACAGATAAAAAATTTTGCTTAAGGGTATCGAAAAATAATTAATATGGTGAAAGCAAAGAAACATAGTTAGTCTTTATCATAGATTCAGAATAGTCTTGCTTGCTCTGGAGATTGATTTTTTCTCCAATAATTTACCACAACATAATTTTGTGCTAGTGAGGTGTTATTATCAGATTGTGGTGTAAAGCTTTTTCAGTGATTGTCATAGCATGAGTTAAATTCTTTGTCTCATGTATTATCACAGCATATACAGCCCCTATTTTACGTAAATGGTGAGGAATTAAATCATAGTCTTTTAAGAATCTATTGAACCATTTAACTCTTGGTTTACCTGGATCACCTATTCGATCAGAAGATATAGCATTTTGTATCCAGGTTAGTAATTCTTTGGCTCGTTCTTGATTCTTCTCTATAGATCTTAATTTTCGAGGAGTATCCATCTAACTTCAGTTCTTTGCATAGCCTATCACTCCAGCATCTGTAATACGTAAAGATATAAGTTCAGCAGGGTGGATACAAAGCATTATCATAACATCTGCGAGAGCTTGTAAGTTGGGCAAAGTAGATGTATCATAACTGTCCAATCTTTCTTTGACCGATTCTAACGTAAAATGGTCTGGATAATTAATTCTCTCAAACTTCTTAACAAATATTTGTCGATTCTTCTAAATTTCGTTAGCATCTTTTGTAATATCGGGGAATTTTGTGGCTTCGATTATCTGGAATGAAGCACCAAGATTTCTTAATTCTCTTCTGAGTCATGATAACTGAGAAGAACCAGCATTAGCATTTAATGCCGATAAGGCTAAGGCATAAGCTTCAGCTCTTATATTCCTAATACTAAGCTTGTTTTGTAAAAATCGATGTGTCATCTTTTTGATAGTTTCTTTCTTTAATTCTTGCGGGATTAAAATAGGATCTTGATATCTATCAGAAGTTGCAAAATTTATAGTTTTAGTTTTACTACTTCTCTGGTTAGGTATCAATATACTCACCTGTTCACTGCTAAATTTAAAGCTATCCCGAAGACATCTGCGTGCCTGATTTCGCTTTCTATTATCAGTAAGATTCTCAAGAAACTCTGAAGTATATTGACCAAGTTCTGATATATTCATCTTTGAGGTGAGTTTATATTTCTCAACGATTTTTGTTGCAATAGCTGACATTGCTAGATTTTATAGTAGGTCAAGTAGTTTATGAGCAATTCTTTAGGTTATATTCACTATAAAATTAATTTTCAAATCGA